GTAATTAAACTTTGTTTACGTATCTAGACGTATATATTTGTCTAGAATAAAATGCTAACAAAGCTATTATTTTTGTTTTCTTTACTACACCAATACAGAAGAGCAGCAACAAACATCAGTTAACTAAGAGCTACCCTATACTGTTAGTTAAAATCCAATTGAGAATGTCTACCGAGATGATGATGGACGAATCGCCGGGGTGCCGCAGTATTGGTTTCCGGCTATCATTCAATTACAACACAATGAGATGATAGTGCATGCGGGTACAAGCATACACCAGGCAACACTGTGATTGCCGCTGCAAATTGATAACATCCATTTTAGATTGATACAAATGATGTTACTGATACTGCTGTATGGAAAATTGTAATGCGAGTTATGTACTTGGCGTGTCACAGCACGTAGCTTTTGGACGTAAGTTTAAATGCAAGATGGCACTAACGACAACTGATATTTAGGCACAAATGGAACGTTTTACAGGCAGGTTATTAAAGTTATTAGAGACGGCGGAAATATTAATTCAATGGTGCAAATCCTTTGAGTTGGCATAAATCAGAGGTGCAGAGTATGCCGCGGGCGGTTCGTCATTACGTCCACCTGTAATGAAGCGGTGCTACTCGGGGCCGCTGGCCCATTCGTAACAGGACTTGTCTCTAAACTGCTCGAAAGTATGGCATTAGAAGGAATTAGCGACAATCGCTGCCGGCGACGAGATTTAAACTTTGCTTTAATTTACATATGCAACGTGAACGCTTTTACACCGAATGATAAGTTACCAACTGAAATGGCGACAAAATAAATTACCCAAGATACATCAAAACAACTTGTAACATATTCACATTATTCATTTTAAATTGGTTATTCGGAAAAACATGACAGACACCATTTTTAGTCACGGTAAAACGAAGTTTCAGTGGAGAGGTACATAATTGGAAGTTGCTTTCGCGCGTCGGCAGCGTTTTTAGCAAGAGTAAAACAAAAACGTGGCCATATCCAGGGAACACATAAAATGTGGGAGGAACGAGTGTAGTGGCGCTGCGGGGCGCGTATAAATCCAACCAGCCATTGTCCTGTCGCGCCACGCACAAAAATGCATTGGGTGAGCCAGAGGCACGCCGTGCGGAGGCCGACTGCCGACTTGCCGACGTTACAGCACGCATAGAGACGACGACACTGGACTACCTTAAAAAATTTAAGTTGCTACAAGGCAGCACAAATGTTAACATGTTGCTATCGATATAAATGCCAATTTTAATAAGCTAATGAGAATGTCTCCCGGGATGATTTTAATGATTTTCGATGGAAAAAGTTACAATAAGTGAATGCAATATTTTGCTAATTATATACCCCAAAATTCGCGCGTCGGTTACTTTATCATTGCAAAGCGTCCCAAGCAATTATTTCAGTAGCAACATTTCCGTTACTTAATTGCCAGTACACACGCCAGTGGCCACTCAACTTGTTGAAAGCTCCTGACATTCGTGTTCTCGAACCGCGCTCGCCGTTGTGGATGCGACTTCACATTCAATGCGGTTGTGTCAGGACCAACAAGACCTTTTGCTCGTTTTCGCCGCTGTAAGTGTGAAGTTCGTGACGAATCCAGTAAAAATAATGATTTACATGGAAATGCATGTACCTCACACGAACATAACAAAATGTAAACCAAACGTATTTCAGATGTGGTTGTGTCTATTTGATTTGAATATCGCCTTCAATGAAATCCTAAAAAGATTCTGGTAATCCGATATAATAATTTTGGTCATAAATTATATATGAAATACAGATTTCTCAACACAGGTTGAGGTTTGTACATCGGACACATTTTATTATAGCTATCTCAATATTTTTATTGATCCTCGTCTATAAATCTCAGCAACTAAATGCACGGGCTATAGTTATAAGGTGCTGCGTATCACACCCGAGAGTTCTTTTGAATCATAAATCATCTACAGGAGAATGGTCGCTTATTAAAACTCCCCGGCTTAGATCGCCGTCGTTTCTCTCGTGTTGATCACGATATTTACGGCGTTGAAAAAGTTTATTTTCTTTTTTACTTTATAGACACGTCACGGCTATCGATACATGTCTTGTTAGTTGTTGGAGTATTATCCTTGTTCTGGAAATAACACCGTACCATATGCACGGAAACGCGCCGTTTACTTTCATTCCGTTTTCGGACATCTCCTTATAAGCCGTTCGTTTACGGCGCCCTAGTAGGGATAACATTGGATTTTGTAACCCAAGCTATTTCTGGTGCACAATAGAAATGGTATCTCCTTACATGCTGTGGGTGGACTGAATGCAACGAATTTCGTAATACCGTACAACTGTTTTGGTTGGCATTCTATCTCTTGTTTGTATTGTCTACTCCTACGCCGAAATGTTCAAATCCGCGCATTGTAAAAAGCTTGTGCAAGTGATACTGAATGATTTTATATGGAAATGCGGCACGCGGCGGTGCTTGGTCCAAAGCGGCCACTTAATAAGGACTTGTACCCTTTATTCTCAGTGTGGTCAGCGACATTCCAACACGGGTTTACTCTCTCGGCTCGACATTTTTGTATGTTCAGTTGTCCGCAGCAGTCCTCGTTTTTCTCCCCGACTATTTCCCACCTCTACTCGTCGCCGGGAATTTAAACGAGCGCACTGATCTTGATCGCGCCGTTCGCTCGAGTTTTGTTTGGTTTTCGTGCGAGGAAATTTGTCGGTCCCCCTAGACTTCGAACAATTTAAACATACTCCTTCAAGTACGTAAAATTGTGTTGATGTTTATCAAGTTGCCTGTTGCAGCTTGTGCACCAGTGCAATAATGTACGAGATGTTTTTATTTTATTCGGTGTTTTTGGGGTTTGATAGTCAGAGAACGTGAAAAATGTTACATGTGTTTCGGTAAAATAAATGCCAATTTGTTTCTATAGAAATAAACATTATATGTTTCTGCAATATGAGTCGTTCGCAGTAACTCAAGTTTTACCGAAGTAGTTAAGGTCTCTTGTAGGTGGTATAAATATGTATTTACGTTTGTTCTTATTTCATATTGGTTGTTGTTTTCGTTTTGGCTGGCATTGTGCGATGGACAGCGGATTAACAAGGGCGTCGGCGCCAGGCGCGCGGTCGCGGCGGCGGTGGAATAGCAAATGTGCCTCCGTGTGTGGTGCTGATATCGCGATGGAAGCTTGTTCGTGCGCTTCGTCGCTCCCGAGATGCGCGCGATTGGATGCATTTACATAGTGCCGCGGTGTTTTTGCAAACTTCCATGCATTGTACTCATGCGGACTCTTTTGTAATTCATATTTCAATTCTTTATACTTAATGCTCGGGAATAATAAGTTGAGACAACGGTAGACGGTGCTTTGCATGGTTTACTGTGTATATACCATGTACGTATTAACTTTTAAAACTCTTAATTTGAACATTACATATCGCTGCAAAGTTTACAACAAATTCAAGAATTGTTTCTCTTGAAGTTATAAAAACTTTTTTCTTTCATAACTCTGGTACCTGGCTAATTGACACACAGGGCGTTGTGCCTTCAAATTGTGGTCAAATATTTGCAGAGTGGACGCGTAAAGCGCACAGCAAACAACGACGTTCTGTTTGCTCTGTCCAACGAGGCTGTGTTTGCGTCGGCTATCTACGTGATCTGTGCCTTCTCGTAGCTAGACCAGTTAAACTCACCCCGGGCCTTTCTTTGTCCGCCGCTTATGGCGACCTAATCTGTGCATGAGATCGCGTTGACACGTATTTGGTATTAAGTCGGGATAAACTGACGCTTTCTACAAATCTGATTGTGTTTCCTTTTAAAAATATATTTTTTTATTTCACTTTACATTTGGGAAAGATAGATTTTGTTAATAAAGCAGGCTTGGCAGTGACCTTAGGTAGTAAACTTCAATGGTTTCCACGTAAAGGTTCCTTGGCCAGTAGATTAAGAATACCCGAGCTTACCGATGTTAGTACTGCTAGACTAGTTTACTTTAGTTACTTCCATAGTATAATGTCCCACGGGATTCTCATGTGGGATAAAGCGGCAGACATTCAAACCATATTTATATTGCAAAAACGAGCAATTCGTTCTGTGTACCGGTTAGGCTCTCGGATTTCTCTCAGAGAAAAGTTAAAGGAGACTGGTATCATGACTGGCATCACAGTACATTTACTCAAATATTTTATATGCCCGTATAAATACTCATAATTTTAATAAGAAAAAGATATCCGTAATATTAACCTTACAGCTAAGTCCAAACTCATGGTACCACGATTTCCTTTAACTAAGGTAAACGATTTTATGGGGAACTGTATACGTTTTTACAATAAGATTCCGGAGCATATATTAAGATTATCATTTCCTAAGTTTAAAAACTGCATTAAAAATGTTTTGATCAAAAAGTCATATTACAAAATTGGAGACTACGGGTCATATTCTCTACTCAAGTAGAGTTCTAGATCAATCAATGCTCAAGTCAGGATTTGGGTATGGTTTAAAGCACTCGAAATCATACTCAAGTCCCTGCCCTGCTTGTGTTTCAATTGCAATCCTGACTTGAGCATTGAGTAGAGTTCTAGAATACTAACCTACGTGTTAGATAAAGATGTATAGAAAGACGACATGGCTCTTGATTCCACACAAATTGATTCAAAGTGTATTCCATAGCATTTAAGTTTATTTGAAAAGGGCGATGACTAGAGTTTCGTAGTAGCTTAAACGTGACGTTTTCAAGTGTATATTAATTTTACCTATCTAATAAATGGTTCTTTTACTTTGGGAATTTTCAAAATCTTTGTAAGACCTTACAGCGTTAAATTTTGAAAAATGTTGAACTGTAATATCTGGTGTAATAACTTTCATTTTCGAACAATCATTATACGCCATTTACTTTTGTTGCAGGTATGTATCCGGCCGTTCGACCGATAAACTACGTGAGTGCAGTTCGCGCGGCGAATGCTCAATAAAAACTTAATTCGGCGTAATAAGCCACACCACGTGTTGGTAATTACAGCCTTCGCCCTGACTTGTAGCCTGCAAACGCTAGCAATTATGCGGTGAGACGCAGGCAATCATCTCGAAAGATGCTTGTACTGGTAGCAGTTTCTCGAACACGTACAGCAATTTGGCCTGAAACTTCCTCCACGAATCCACCTGCGTTCTCAAAATGCCGTGGTATTTAAATGTCAGTAGGATTTAAGGGTAATGCTTTCACCGTTTTGTCTATTTGTCTGTATGAATGAGTTGTATAACTCATATTAAGTTCATAGATGGCGTCTGCGAAAGCGTACCAATATTAGCATCACCTCTGACCTTAAGTATGTAATTGTTTCGCGGCGTCGTTATGATTATTTGTTCGGAGAAAGTAAGCCTCTGTATTAGAGAAAGGTCACCGAATATCCTTTTTTGCGACTTTCACACGCTATCTTATCAGAGTGGGTCACTTCTTCCGGTCATATTCGAGCGGCTCGTAAATTTATGCTTGCAATTTGTCATTTAGGCTTACAGACATCTTTGCCAATCTTTATTTTCGAATTCATTTCCTTTTTCCTCGTTTAGGTAATCGTTGTAGAGATTAATTGGTTTAATTTTAATTTGATAGTGGTATCTCTACATTTTATCTACGCGTTGATCGAACTATTTTTTCGTGAGCTGGATTAGAATATAATTTCTAGTAGTTAAATGGTCTCCTTAAAATTTAAATTATAGAACCGGTTTGTTTGTTTTGGTAGGACGTGATAGTCCGCCTAGCTGCCCCAATGTGGGTTGGAAGCTGCACACGTTTTCCGAAGGTATTTTTTTATAATGTCAAGTGTGGGGACGAACACGTCGTGCGCCTGATGGTAAGCTACACGCCTGTTCATAACAGTTGCTGTGCCGCTCAGTGCTTTAAATCGCAAAGATCTGAGGGGCACTGCCACTGCGCCCGACAGCCTGAGACATAAGTTGACAAGTCCCGTGTGCCTGTAATGTCACCAGCACCTGAAACAACACAACAATTTTGCGGCCGAAATAAGGTGGCAGTCTTCGTTCCCTTCCTTCCTTCTATTTATACATACACACGCACGCACGCACGCACGCACGCACTCACGCACGCACGCATATATATATATACACATACACACATATATATATATATTATATATGTGTGTGTGTGTGTGTGTGCGCGTGTGTGTGTGCGTGTGTGTGTGTGTGTGTGTGTGTGTGCGTGTGTGTGTGTGCGTGTGTGTGTGCGTGTGTGCGCGTGTGTGTGTGTGCGTGTGTGTGTGTGTGTGTGCGTGTGTGTGTGTGTGCGCGTGTGCGTGTGTGCGTGTGTGCGTGTGTGCGTGTGTGCGTGTGTGCGTGTGTGTGCGTGTGTGCGTGTGTGCGTGTGTGCGTGCGTGTGTGTGTGTGTGTGTGTGTGTGTGTGTGTGTGTGTGTGTGTGTG